TATTGTTATCCTGAAGCTTCTTCCACAGTAGAGCTCTCCAGCAGCCCTAATTCATCGCGATTCGTCAACATCTTACTTTTCAAAAAAAAACACGCAAGCGGGGCCAGAGAAGCATAGAGCCAGAGAGCAGAAAACTTACTGGGCTGCCAGTGATCGAGTCTCCGAGGGGCATGATCTTAACCTTTTCTTCAGCTGAGGCAGTCCATATCGAGGAGAAACAGACTAGCATCAAAACAGATCGGCCAAGAAACATCATGACTCGATAGCTGGTAATTGAAGAGACAACTCATGGGCCGAGACTAGGCACTAATGCTGTTTATTTCCTGATGGAAATGGCGAGTTTAGAGCGCTTGCAGCCCCCTACTTATTCTTCGATCTAGTACAATCAATTGCACTTTCGACGGGATCCTACAGGATTCATGTTATCTCGCAGTGTATCAACATGATGCTGTTATGACATGTATTCCTGTGAGAAGCAGGATCTCAATTCAGGATTCATCATGCTTCCAGCGTTGAAACGCCTCCATGGTGTACCTATGGGAGCTGGTGCCATTTGATGCCATGACACCGACTATCCCTTTTCAGGACTTAACGTCGTCGGATGGGTGGCTCCCGGCCCCCATTGAATCAGGTATTTGAGCCTCGCGGTCGATATTTCGGATGATTCGGGCGATCATCGCTGATTACGGGGATGAAACAGGATCCATGAGGATCAGGTTAGATTAATTGACTGTGACTGAATGCCCTTCCCAGTCACCGCAAACTCTAGCTAGCCAGCGCGCGTCAAACCTTCACCCGTTGATTGCCTTTACATGGTCGACGACCAGACACTGGTAATCGCTGCTGCCCTTGTAGATCGTGAACCCATCGTTGTGAGTCTGCCCTGAGCTCAGCTGATCTCCCCACTGCCAGAACAGATCGGCGCCGAGTCCGGGCGCCGTCCGTGAGACTTGCTGCCAGGGTGCCTCGATGCCGCAATGGTCACTTAGAGAACCGTCTTCTTGGGTGTGAGCTTATTGAGTTTAAATACCAGACACGAGGAAAAAAACTCACATTCTTCAAAGAGGCAGGGTTTGCCGGCCTTTGCGCAAGCCTCGCCGTGTGATTTGATCCAGCCGGGAGACCAGGTCTTCAGATCGACGCTCCCTATTTCTCCGTGTTAGTTGATTATGTCCGACCCTCGTCATTCGGACGAGACTTGGATAAGAAAGCTTGTCTCTTTCAGGTGACTTACAATGATCGGGGTACATGTGGAAAGTGCCAAAGTCGAGCGTCTTGATGCCGAGGTTCTTGACAAAATCTGTGCCTTCACCGTATTGGTAGGGGTAGCTTCCATCGCCGGGCAGTCCCATGCCCTCATCGCCGAGAGTGACCATGTGGTTCGCATCCAGTGACTTAACGAACTGGGAAGTCGCTTGCGCCCACTGGAAAATCACATCAGTGCTGCAACCCTTGCAGCGGGGTTCGTTGGCCAGTTCCCAAGCAAAGATGGCGGGAGAGTTCTTGTAACGGCTCACGACGGCCCGAATGTACGCCTTGTACTGAGTTTGGGCCTGAGCGTTGGTGTACCAAGTCTCTTTCGAACCGCCAAAGGCTTTCACGTAGGCGTTCATGCCACCGTAGTCATCCCAGTGGTTCACAAAGGGGATGATGAGCTTCACACCCTTCTTCTCCGCGGCAGCGACGACCGCATCGAGTCGCTGGAGTCCGTTGACGCCAGTGTTGATTTGTGATCCAGAGGCTGAGAGGTGTTGGTACCAGACCTGGTTTCCGCTGGGGACAGCGTTCACGTCGTTGAAGCCCCATACGCGAAAGATCTTGAGTCCGGCTTTCGCGACATTGTCCATGACGAGATCGACGTCGGCATTATTCGTCAGGAACGAGATCCAGTATGAGTTGCTGCCGGCAAAGTATTTTGTCTGGCCATCGATGGTGAACTTTGTGCCACTTGCCGACGGGAAGGTCGAAGCCTGTCTAGGCTCTGGAACGGCCAGGGCTTGGATGCTGGCCAAATTGGCGAAGATCGACACAAGGGCAAGCTTCATGATGGGTCGCCGTTTTCTGGGTGCGGGTGTATGAGAAGATGAGATGATGGGCAGATCAGATTATTCATCTCCATAAGGAGCCTTTATACTCTCGTTGAAAATGGGTTGAACATTGTGTAGCCGCTGGTGCGTCGGCTCTCCGCGTTAGAAAGCAACCTAAAACGGAGCCAATGAAAATCCAACGGCACTTCAGTTAAAATGGCCAAGACTACTAGAGCTAATGACCAATACGAACACCTCGTACCTTTTCCGGATGCGATCAACTTGTCGCCTGGGCAAATTCCCCGTATTTCGAGAGCGCCGAGGCGGTGTAATACCGATTGGGGTGCGGAGGGAGGACTCCCTCTGCACCTTTTCGGAAATGATGTGGGGCCCAAGGCGGGACATCCCCGGCCGCTTCGTCTCGAAGAAAGTGCCGAGAGACTAGCGGCAGCTCCGGGGCTATTTTATGGATCTTCGGCCGATCGGAACCGGGCTCCAGATAACATTGCAGTTACACCATTCATACGAATGAGATGAAGGGCAAGTCATCCTCAGACCCTTTGAACTAACAGTCTCACTTGATAGTAGGCATATAAGTAAGATGTACTCGGCAGGACATTGGGTCACGTGCGAGGCAAGCACTGAGTCCATCATACGCGTATTGAGATACAGTCAGCCTCTGAGGTGCTCGCGTTGAATTCAGACTAAGTGACATAGAAGGTTGGAAACCTGTTTCGAATTGATTTGATTATACCAGAAATCCCTCGCGAAGCAAGGAAAGGTTCGCAAGCCTTCGGCCCCTATGCATTCCCGTTAGGTACCTGCACCTTATTCAACATAAAGGTGCATTAGGTACCTAGTCAACCTCACTTGCGGGACCCATAGAAGTCAAACTTTCAGCTTCAGTGGGCCTAAAGCACACTCTAATAGGTTGTGTCTGCATTGGACTAATGCATAGAGGAAGCTAGAGAACAGGTGTGTTGCGAGCTCATGATGTTGCTGGTATGTGCAGTGACTGATGGTGAACAGATGGAATCTACTTACTCTCTTGGCCGTCGGGAGGGGGTGGGCGGGTTACTGTAACAAGTTAACATCTCTCTGGCTAAGGCGTCAGATAATTTAAGCTGTCTGTGAGCAACGCTCGAAATTATATCCTAAGTCCCATGATTGTTGCCATTATCCTTTCTGCAAGCGAGTAATCTTTGCACATAGACATTGGGGCTTGTCATCAGCCATCAGGTACATGCGTGTTGATATAAACTTGAACTTCAATGAGATTTTCAGAAATGCCTGTCGATACTGTCACAGAAGAGGACAGAGATGAGAACTTAAAGTTTACGAGTTCAACAAGATTTTAGAGTTGTCGTTGCTCTAGTGTTTTTGGGGCTTATGAGCCAAGTTGAATGAAGCTATCGATCCATGTCTTAGGATAGGCAGTGGCAGAGAAAATACTAAGATGGGCGAAACGGAACAAGCCACCTGCGAACTTTTTGGGGAGAAGGAGAACAAGCCGTTGGGCGACGAATCGAGTCTGGACAGCCTCCAGCCTTGATCTAACCTTGTAAGCGGGACTTCCGCGAGATGGCCCAGGCTTTTGTTGAGTTTTGGTGCCTTGAAGATGATTTGAAATATTTCAGATTCAGACAGCTAGAAGTCAAATCAATCTCAACAGGAGAGTCCAGTGCCACATGATACAGTTTACGCCAGTGAAGCTTTGATTACCGGCCGCTGTGTATAGGTGACCGTCTGCGGCATGCTTGGTCCATCGAGTCGGCTCCGGGCTAGCGGTAACGAGGGTCCAAACGATGCGAATCTGGGGCCAGCATTGCCGAGAATTTGGCCGGCGTAGTACGCGGCCGAAGCTTCGTAGGTTGCCGAACGTTATGCGTTGTCTGTTCGAAGGAATCGGGAGTAGACGAGGTGCATGGCTTATGGGACATCGGCAAAGGAGAGAATTCACAGATGATCGTGGACCCTTTCCCACGTGAATGAGAGTTTAAGAGCCCGCGATTTTCAACTGGAAGCGAGCTCTCGCTTCCGATCTCTCTCTAGTAAACTTAGAAGTAGGTGAGCAGAGACTCAAGCTTCGAGGGGTAATGGTCCAGAGGCTCTTGGCATCTCATTCATCGTTGCGGCCGTTACGACGACTTGCTCGGCTTCGTGAACCGATTGGCTTCTTCTCAGTACCCCGCAGCGGGAGATGTACGTGGCCCGCGAAGATCAGGCCCGCGCTCAGCTACCATTTTAAGCTAGTCATGCTCACTGTCGAGTCTAAAGTTGCCCTACCCCGCGGTGATCGACTCGAATCCAGACGCAGTCGACAGGGCCCCTGAATCAGGGACTCTTTCGCCCTGCTTCCTGGAGCTCCGCGGAAGGAATAAACGCTGTCAGTGTTGAAAGACGTGCGGACGGACTTTGTCGCTCTCGGGTCCGCTTATGGACATCATCTACTGCGTCGCCCTACTTTTTGCGCATGAAGACCAAGCTTTTCCGTCCGAAGTCTTTCGGAACACGCGTTGAAGGCATGCTACTCACCATCACATCCCGTCCCTACCTAACGGACCATAGCTAGGCTTGTATACCGTGAGTGTTGCGCCCGCAAGAACAAACCGGGCTTCCGAGATCATGAGAAACAGCCTCGTTTTTCTCGCACCCTGGAAGCCATCATCAGGTCACTGCCGGCGACGGATTAAGACCAAGGCTGAGATATCGGCCGTCTCAGACTATCAACTTAACCTTATCGGAGAATTTTAGACTTATTCACTAGTCTAACAAACAAAATTAGTCTCAAGAAGTAAATAAACATTTCGTGGTATTGAGAAACGTATTAAAGATGACAAGGCCTCCCGCTTTTCGTTACAGATGATTTCTTGCCAGACAGGTTGCGGACTTCATAGTTTACGAACCCAGCTTCCTCTAGCAACTCAGCCTTCCGTCTCCATCAGTAGTCTTCGTCACCTACCTCCTCACAATATGCCTTCCGTCAAAGCTTTGTTTGTTTCCGCTCTTGTTTCGAGCACCCTTGCGGCTCCTCTCATCACCCGTTTCGAGAACAAAGAAAATGCCGCAAGTGTCTTTGATGAGAACCCTCGGACTTCTCTAGAGACCCGCGATATCGAGGCCAGCGAGGACTACGCTGACCTCGAGGCCCGAGATGAGGACGAGTACGAGTATGAGTACGTCGAGGCTACTTCTGTCGCTGGCATCTCTGCTCGAGGTCTAGTGGACGGCGAGGAGTCTGGCGACCTTGAGGCACGGGACCTTAAGGAAGTCAGCGAGGTCTACTCGACGTTCCAGTCTCGTGACTTGGAGGTGGATGACGATCAGCATGGCACTCTTGAGTCTCGTGACAATAAAAAATCGTCGTCGAGTCGCACCTCTTCATCTCGGACTTCATCTTCGCGGAGCAACAACAACAATAACAGGGTTGACAAGGGAAGAGTCCAGAAGGAAAAGAACGAGATCAAGGATATCCAAGCAGATCAGAGAACGCAACATGCAAGCGGCAAGGCGAAGGAAGCCAAGGAGCGGGCAGAAATTCAAGAGGCCCGCGAGAGACAGAAGGGCGCTACGAACTCCCGAGACAAGGACGCTGCTAGGCGCAAGAAGCTTGAAGAGCAAGATTCCCTTGACAGAGTGAAGGGCCAGAACCAGAGAGACAAGGCGCGCCTCCAAGCCCAAAAGGAGAAGGAGAAGCAGGAACTGGCGGACGCCAAGAGGGGTGGACGTGGCGGCAGATTCGTTGAGACACCTGAGACGTCAACAAACTTCAACCCAAAATCTTATGGTGGCAAGTCGGGAACTTACAACGACTACAAGAATCCCAACTACCAGAACAAGGACAGTAACTATTACTCGAACCAGCGCAACAAGGACGATGAGAGAATCCGTCAACTGGAGAGAGACCGCGCGCGTGAGGATTCTCGTATCAACAAAGCTGAGTATAATAAGAACAAGAGCGGCGACAAGATCAAGAATGGAGAGTATAACAAGGACAAGGAGGATGAGGCAATCCGCAAGGCTCAATACGAGAAGCAACGGAGTGGCGAGCGCATCCAGGATGCGGAACGAGCCAAGGACAGGTACGGCAACAATGCAAACAAGAACAGCTATGATCAGGAAATCCGTGCCGAAGAAGCTAGACGCCAGCGTGCGGACCAACAGATCCGCGAATCTCAGTACGACAAGAACAAGCAAGACCAGTTGATCAAGGCTGAGGAGGACCGCCGCACTAGGTACGACGAGCAAATTCGGAAAGCCCAGAACGATAAGGATAAGTACGGCGACCGCATTCAGGATTATGAGCAGCAACGCAGAGAGGACGAGAGGAGTCGCAATGGAGGGTACTAAGCTTCTTGTTACTTGAAACTGCATGTAGCCTTTGGGCCATAGACTGTATGCGGCCATGACGGATGATGGCTGAAGGGGCGGTGTATGGCGTTACGAGGTGGTGCTACTTGTCCTTAATATCTAAAACTTACTATCCTTACGACTCCGAGGCAGTAAAACGGAGTTAATGAAACTTACTTTCCCGGACACTGAATGAGAAATATGTGCATGTATCCTCAGATGGAGTTGAAATGGTGCAACTCCAACTCATTCCCAGCGATAAAGCTTACGTATTGAATTGGCAAAGGTAAAGTAGAGATGTTTGCCTGTGTTGCTTGACCGGCTAGTCTCAATGAGAAGTGTGGTAAGTAAGTAAAAAAAAAAAAAAAAAAAAACGATGTCGAACAATGGGACGGTTGAATGTTGACGAATGTACATCGGCAAACGATAATGGATCCATCTGATCTCGATGGCTGTGTACAACGAACAGGACTGGAACGGGGCCTGAATTAGCTAGAAGTGGACTCGTTGAAAAAAGATCATTGAATCACGTTATGGTAGTAATGCGTCTCGGCGAAGGGTTTTCGACTGAGCATTTGATGAGGCATGCATTGCGTCGCCGAGGTAAAAGTTCAAAGCCCGGCCAACATGGTTCATGACCAACTAAAACTTTCTCGCCTCCTATATTAATAGCGGCAACACGTTGAATTGATTCATTGAAATTTTGAAAGCTCATCACCATGCCTTCGTCTTAACAAGGGTCCCAAGTTTTCGATCTATTCCAGTGCTTGATTTACTATTCTAACTACGCCCCGTCACTATCAGAAGTTGTTAAAATGTCAGCCCGAAATACATGTAAAGTCGACATCGAGTCAATCAGGCCACTCGCGAGCTCCAGAGAACGCTTTGCTAATTCGGTAGGGTCACTGTACTATTCCCTACCTTTCCACTTCGGGTCGCTCGCTCTAGAAGTTCACCAGCAACTGGCTGACCATATCATCCCGCAGAGCCCTTTTGGCTACGGTGCATTTGCGACGACATTGATGACTCTATCACTGGCTAATATGGGTATTCGGAACATTGAAAATCAAGCTGTTTTCATCGCCAACCTCTGCTTCCTAGCTGGTCTGGGCCTCCTCATCTCAGCTCAGTGGGAAATGGTAAGGGGTAACACGTTCGCCTATACGACACTCATTGCTTTTGGTGAGTTTGTCACTCCATTGTTTTGATTTCATGACTCGACAAAGGACTGAAGCTCCCAGCATTTTACTATGGCGGTTATGGCTTCCTGCTGATCCCTTCGATTGGAATTGTCGACAGCTACGGTGGCAAGACGGAGCAATATTATACGGCTTTTGGACTCTATCTTGCTGGTTTGTTTGACATTCTCGCCATTTTCTTATTTTTCCGATGCTACAGCTTGCGACTGACTTTGAGCACTGTAACCAGTCTGGTCGCTTTTCAACCTCTTCTTTTTCATTGCTGCTTTTGCGACGTAAGTGCTGAACCTATCTGTTCTGGCGGGGCTCGCTGACCAGTGACAACTTGCAACATCAGGAACGTCGCAAACGTCATTGTCTATGGAGGCCTTGAACTTTCTTACACCTTGAATTGCTCAGCGAATTTCCTATTCGCAAGCGGGAACGCCGCGGCTGGTGGGACTTTGGCCAAGATCGCCGGTGGATTTGGATTTGTTGCTGCATTGGCTGGTTTCTACGTGATGGCCGCTGAGTTTTGCTGTGAAGTGCTGCCGTTTCATGTCCCGTTGGGCGACTTGTCACAATTATTTCCGAGGGAGAAGAGTCAGCGGCATCAGAGATGACATACGAATCTTGTGCGCCGAATGCTGTCAAATGTCAGGTCTGGTCTGTAGTAGTATTATATGAACCAACCCCCAGCTCTTCCTACTGTGATAGTCGTGTCTCATCTCGGTTTGTTATTGAGGTTAGGAGAAGAACTCATGCAATTCATAAAGTAGACCGGCCCCGTTGTCTCTCGAAAAACCTACAAGGTGATCACGCCATGCGAACCCACGAAAGAGAAGTAGGCCGTAGCTCATGACCGAGTGGGTCAAACGCCGTCTGCACTTCATGACCTTCAAGTGGCCTGACTTAAGCCAGGGTTCAGCGACGAATGAACATGCTCCAACTTCTCAAGTTGTTCACCATGATTGAAGTCATGTGCGTGTGGTTACCTAGGATTTGGTATTGCTTGTAATTCGGTTTTTGGTTTGGTTTGGGCCGGCCACTCGGTGCCGAGATCCACTCATTCTCGGGTTCTGCTGGAGCTGAGCCGGGGTTTGGGTCCGGCATTTTTCACGGGGACTTTCCGGCAAATTTGACCCGTAATGCAACGAGGGGAGAGGTGTTGTAAACTTATGATTTCAGAGACCCTGAAGTTGGTGCAGTCGGTGTTTGAAAATGAATCATGTGCTTCCTAGGAAGTATCGTCATGGTAACGGCCACACATGGTCTAGAGGTACCTGAGGAGGTACACTAAATATGTAGATACCTATGGAAATGGATGGCTACTGAATTTCTTACTAGACTCACAAGTGGGAATCATTTCCAAGAAAAAAGTTCCTTCACGTGGTACTGTATAGTCTATCCCGACCTTCTAATTCTTCAGACCTCTAAATGAACACGCGTCTACAGGTCTAGGAGCTTTTCGAAAAGCTCGCCGGAGTCGGCGTCTCCACCACCTGGCCATTGTGGATCAGCATATTGCCATCATCGTAGTCCGAGACAATATCCTCAATGTACGCATAATCAAGACCTCGCAACTCGTCTTCCTCAGTAGCGCGCAGATGCATGCCCGGAATCTTATTTATGAGGAACAACAAGATGCAGGAGACAAAGAACGACCAGGCAGCGCAAGTCGTCGCGCCTGTCAACTGTAGACCAAGCTGTCTGAAGTTGCCATTCCACCAGCCGCCCTCATACGAGTCGCCGCTAACTCCGTCGAGAGCAGGTACCATCTTGTGGGCAAAAAGACCAGTCAGAATATCACCAACGTATCCACCGACACCGTGAATGGCAAAGATATCGAGACCGTCGTCGACGCGGAGGATATACTGGTATCGAACGGTGTAGAAACAGCAGATGGCTGTGATAATTCCGACAAGAGGTGAGACGTAGACAAGAACTATTATAGTTGTTAGCGCAAACATGGGAATGCAACGAGAAGGATAGTTTTACCGAAGCCAGCTGCTGGGGTGATACCGACAAGACCGGAGATGATACCCGAGCAGAAGCCAACCAAGCTGAACTTCTTCATGTACATGTAGTCCAACAAGGCCCACGTAACTCCACCACCACAAGCAGCAAAGTTGGTGTTCACAACGACATAGATGGACCGCAAGCTAAGGTTAGCCGTGCTAGCTCCGTTGAAGGCAAACCATCCAAACCAGATGAGAACGGTACCCAGAGTCATCAGCAAAGGGTTGTGGCCCCTAAACTGTGGGACGTGCCTCTTCTTCGTGGACGTGCTGCTGTCGTCGATGCGGGGACCCAACATCATGGACCAGGCAAGGGCTCCAAAACCACTGGCGATATGGACCGGACCGGAGCCCGCAAAGTCGTATAGGCCGAGGTTGTACAGCCAACCGCTAGGGTTCCACTCCCAATATGCCAAGCTAAAGGGCAAATCAGCATTACTCTCATACACGTGTGCTCGATATCGAAGGTCTTGGACTTACATGTAGTAGACGAACGTGTTCCAGCAGAGGAGGAAAAGCATGCTGGGCCAGAGACGGCCGCGCTCGAGCATGGCACCGGCCAGGATCATTGCCGTAGCTGTAACAAAGGTGAAGCCAAAGGCAGCATCTGTCCAACAGACGATTATTAGTGTCTCCATCCCTATTAATATCGACCATCTCAGGAGATACTTGACTTACACAAGATGTCTGGGATATCACTGTTGGCAAACGAAGGAGAAGCCAGGAGATTGTGGAATGCGGCGTGGGACAGGTCGCCGAGGATAGGGTTCGTCGTGCGTGACTGGTACAGCGATGCACCGTAGATCCAGTATTGTAGGCCACAGGCGCATGCACAGAAGAGTGATTGGAGAACCATCGTCATGGCGGATTTCCTACGATGCATTCCGGCGTAGAGAAAGCCGATGGCCGGCGTAATCTGCCAGCACAGGATTGTGCATACCAGCACCCAGCAGAGGTCACCCTACGGATTGTTCACACGAGTTAGCGGGCTTTGAACCCCAATCGAAATATTTTTTAGGTCTTCAGAAGAACTTTTGTCAAATTCTTTCTTTACCTTGTCATAAGGCGCATTGAGGTCATGGGTGATTGGGTTGCCTCCCGTTGGGTCGGTGGCATAGTCCGGGAACTCGGTCACAGGGATGACTTCCGTCATGATGTATCACGACAATACTTCCAACGGAGAAATATTATGATGCAATGACTGAGATGGCGGGCAAGCGAAGGCAATGCTGCTTTTTTTCTGTTAAAGAACCAAAGCCTCGGAACGTCAACCTCAAAGCTTGACAGGACAACAGGGAGCCACTTAAAGCTTTCGTCAATCTTCAGATGTTGGCCAAGCTGCCATGCTGTCGGTATTGCTATCACTTGGCACCAGTACGAACCCCAGATAAGGTTGGCTCTGTAACAAAATTAAGCATGTTCACAATTGTCTTGGGCACTGGATGCCAGATAACACCACCCTCCCTGATTGGCTTATCCCTGATAGACGAGCTTCACCGGGGACACGAAAAGACCTATCTTTCTACTCAATCCAGGAAGCTCTCGAGCTGGTTTCTGGGCACCAAAAGTCTGGGCATTGCTAGGGGTGACTGGAAAGGGATGAGGATCAGTGGGTTCAACTGTCTTGCACCGTGAACCACGACCGGTCTAAACTGCTGGAAACGGATGCGGGAGCCTGTCCAATTAGAGTCAAGTAGAGCGGGAGGGACGCGGTTTGAAGGGCAGCTGTTTGGGTCCAACACGTGAAAAGGGGAAGGGCGCACGGCGTCATAAGCCATGTGTAACAACCTTAACGTAGGTACGG